TGTTGACTGTTAATATTTCCTTGATAGTTTAAATATGTTTGTCTGAATACTGATGATTGATCCATGATTGCACTTGCAGTTGCCCCAGTGGCCATTAGTAATTGTTAAAATTTTGGGACTCACACTTTGATTATGCAACTTTTCGATGATGCCAAAAGGGGGAAGAGATATTGTGCTTTGAATATTCTAAATAAGTGATGTTTATAACCTAATGAACCTGGTCCTTGATGATAAGTAAATTTTTCTAACTTTGTATTGATGAATAAGCTGAGTTCTGACAGGGCCTAAGTGAGTGAGAAGCATAGAGTTTGTCATCATCAAAAAGGGGGAATTTGTTGGCCCAAGTAAAGGTGAAGTTTTGAAGACTGACAAAGGAACTCAGACATGGACCAGGTCCATCTTGTGCAGCACAATTGTGATCAACTCAAACATGTGAGATGCACGTGAAGGAGATAAACCTAACTTATCAGAAGTGATATCTCCTGATTATGATCAAAAAGGTTTCATATTGGATAAGGAGAAAGACTCCTTACACAAAGAGGACACGGTTTAGGAAAAGGATAGAGTTAGAGTATGAGATCAACTAGAACTCTTCCACCATGGAAGAGTAGCGTCTGTATCCTAGTCAATCTCTAATTGCTAACTCCTTAAATATCAGTGTTGTTCTTTTTTACAGGTAATGCACACAAGCAGAAGTTAAACGTGAATTGAGAGCAAAATAGCAAGGCAATTTTGCAAGCAATTTATGTGTGATTCAAGCGTGCAATCCTGAAGCTACTTGAACCAGATAGAAGAACCAGTTCCAAGAGTCTATCTTTTATTCTAGTTCAATTGTAGTAGGTGATTTTACATTATACCTTTCAGCTTATTTAGAAGCAATTGTACTAGGTACTTAGAGTTTTCAAGTTAGAGTTAACTTGAAGTTGTCGCAACAGTTGAGGCTGTGTGCCACAACGGGATTAGAGTTAATCCTAGGTTTACAAAAGAGTTTTTGTAAATGCAGTTTTTGGCTCAGTGATTTTAGTGGAGAGTTTGGGAAAATCCTACTGGAAGGTAGGTCGTGGTTTTTTCACCTTTTGAGCCAGGTGTTTTCCACGTAAAATCTCTGTGTTCTTTATTTTCTGTAGTTATTATTCCGCAACAGTAGTAGTTGGAACACATAAAAGAACCATGTCCTTCTATAATCAAGTTAAGCGAAAATTGGGTACCACACAAATCACCCCCTCTTGTGTGGTATTGACGTATAAAACATCAATTTTCAAATATGAAAATATTACACTCTTTTTTATACAAACTAAAAACAACGGAATTAAATCCAATATCTCATCAAATCTCAACAAATTCAATCGTATTGCAAAGACAAACATCAGAGGGAAGTTTTTAGAGTTTTTTATCTTTAAATTGCACAAAACAACTAAGGATGAGTACAGTATAACACAATCTTTCAAACAAAGAATAATATTAAAAAAATGGAAACAACAAATAATATAAAGCCTTAGTAAGTGAAACATATTATTCAACATATATTTAATATATAGCAGCAATCAGAGTATGAATGAGATTTTAATTTTAACATGGTAGTCATAAATGGCGGTGGAATATGAAAAATTGACAACATGATTATTAAATGGTGCAGGCCAATAGCTATAGCTAGCATATTGAATATATATTGACAGGGGATGGGATTTAATCATTGCTCTGACTTCATAAATTTTTCTATGAATTGTTTCCAAGTAATTATTACCCAGCAATGATTTATTTTTTTTCCATTTCGAGAACTGTTGACTGTCGACGTTCGTTTTTCACATGCATAAAATATTATATTTGCTCATTACTTTCTACTTTAGGGGCGAAGTACAATATTAGATACGACTTCGAACGAACTCAACGATTTTTACATAACGTGGTCGCTCTATGTTCTTTAACGGGCTCATCGTTTGGTTGGAAAATAAGTTATCAAAAAATAATTATATTCCGACATAAAGTTTCTCTCTAGAATGAAATTCCCTCTCAGTGAAAGCTGAAAATGACGAGGAAATCGAAAGCTAGAGGAGGAAGCCAACAGAGTCGGGAGAATGTTCAACAACCATCCAATGCTAGAATTGGAGTTCCGAATTCAGCTGATGCGAAGAAAACTCGGAGCATTAATGTGCTACAAGGAATCACTCCGTTAGAGTTAAATAAGGCAGCAATGGAACAGGAAACACCAGTGAAGGTCATGCATGGAGGTGCGATGGAGCACAATTCATCAGGAAAACAGTCATGGGCAGATATTGAGGAGAATGAAGTAGTACATGAAGGTACGTTGGGGTTGAACCTCAAATTGAACCTAAAATGAGGTTATGGAGCAGAATTGTGGCTAATAGTCCTGATGTAGAGGAATTAGAATTGAAAACTAATGAATCTACAAAACAAAATGTTAAAATAACTATGGAGGATATCAAAGAGGAAGTAGAATATTGGAGTAATGCTGTGATTTGTTATGTACTTGGATCGAATCCACCTCTAATAGTTCTGAATGGCTACTTTCATAGAATCTGGGGGAAATTGGGAATAGACAAGGTAGCTCAGGTTAACAGAGGTGTATTTTTGGTTAGATTTACGCAAGCTGAAAGTAGAATGAAGGTGTTGGAAGATGGAGTCTAGATGTTTGATAAAAAGCCTGTCATCATAAAGCCTTGGTCACCAGATGTAGACACTAGAAAGGAGGTGTTCAGTACTGTGCCAATATGGATTAGGCTCCCAGGGCTGGACATCAAGTACTGGGGAAAGAATGCATTGACAAAAATTGCAGGATTAGTGGGTAAACCTCTAAAAGCAGATAGAGCCACAACATGGAAGGAGAGGATGACATTTGCTAGAGTGTTGGTGGAAGTTACACTAGATCAGCCTTATCCACAGAGCATAATGTTTGAGAATGAAATAAGGAAAATAGTTGATCAAAGGGTGCATTATGAGCGTAAGCCAACACTATGCAAAGAATGTAACAACTATGGGCATGAGATGGTGGAGTGTAGGAAGCATACTCAGGCAGAAAAATAGATGGCAAATATAAAAGAAGGGGATAAGCAGAATATGCAGAAAAGGAAAGGGAGCAGAACAAAGAAGGGAAGTAGGAAGGATACCAAAGTCAAAATAGAAGGGAACAAAATGCTAGTGAAAACCAGCACAACAATGTAAAGGAGGGGGGTAAGGCAACATACATACAAAAGGGGAGTAGAGCACAAAGAGGGAAGGATATAACCAGAAACAACATCAACTTAGAGAATTCTTTTGGTGCATTGGGAGAGACTAGTAACCTGGGAGTAGTGGAGCAGGGGAAGAAGGGACCTGAGAAGAAGATGGAAAATGGAGAAGGAGAACAAATATTGGGGAAGGGGGGAAGCCCTCCCCCAGGAAATGGATAGTATTGGCTTCTGGAACACCAGGGGGCTAAATAGACTAGAAAAGCAGAAGGAAATTAACTTGTTTCTGCAGCAATGTAAAGTTAGTCTATTTGGGCTCCTGGAAACAAAGATTAAGAGGAATAATGCTCAAAAGGCTGCTCTTAATCTTTGTAATGGTTGGTCTTTAACAAACAACTTAGGGGCTCATCCGGGGGGGAAGAATTTGGATAGTATGGAAACCTGCAATCATGCAGGTGCAAATTGAGTTTGTATCTGCACAAGTCATCCACTGTGTAGTAATGTACAGAGGTAATGGAGCAAACTTTTATGTCACTTTTGTATATGGATTCAATGATCCAGCCATTAGAAGGCCTTTATGGCAAGAGGTGAGGGATATAAAAAGAAGTATAAATGGCCCATGGGCTTTGATGGGGGACTTTAATTGTGTTTTGAATAAGGAGGATAAAATAGGGAGACCAGTTACTATGGCTGAGATAAGGGAATTTAGAGAATGTATAGCAGAATGTGGTCTTCAGGAGTTGAGGTCCTCTGGGGCTTTCTTTACATGGAATAACAAACAAGAAGGGGAGGAATGGGTATATAGCAGAATAGATAGGGTGATGGTGAATGCAGACTGGATCACTGCATTGCTAGTCTCAGAAGTGCACTACATGAATGAGGGACTATATGATCATTGTCCTGCTATAGTAAATTGGGATAATGGCAAAGGAAATCAGAGAAGACAATTCAAGTACTTCAATATGTGGAAAATGGCTGATGATTTCAAGGAAAGAGTAAAGAATAGCTGGGAAGCAGACATAGCAGGCACCAAATTGTTTAAGGTGATAGGCAAAATGAACAGATTGAAGGCAGTCTTGACAAAACTGAACAAGGACAGGTTTTCAGATATTGAAAGGAAGGCTGAGCATGCTATGGAAGAATTGAAGAGATGTCAAACGGAACTGCAAGGTGATGAAAGAAATAAAAAATTAATTGAAAAAAAGATATACTTAGCACAAGAATGCAGAACTTGGGCCGAAGCTAGAGACCTGTTTTTGAGGCAGAAAAGTAGAATGTTATGGCTCACTCAAGGAGATCACAACACAAAATACTTCCACAGTGCAATAAAGGAGAGAAGGAGCAAGAATAGAATCTTCTCAATTATTGATTCTCAAGGGGTAACTAGAAGAGATCCAGACAAGATTGCTCAGGCCTTTATAGAATTTTACAAGAAGTTACTTGGAGAAAAAGATGAGAACAGGAAACATGTGTGTAGTGAATTAGTAAGGAATGGATCAACACTATCACAGGCTCAAAGGGAATGGCTGATACAGAGCTATAAGGAGGAAGACGTCAAGGCAGCAGTATGGTCAATAGCAGGGGACAAATCCCCAGGGCCAGATGGGTACACTAGCCAATTCTTCAAGGACTGCTGGGATACTATTAGCAAGGATGTTGTTACTGGTGTGGTGGAGTTCTTTCAAAAAGGTACAATGCCTAAAAAGCCTAAACTCAACCATGATTATCTTAGTCCCTAAGAATAGTCATGAAGAAGAGGTGGGAGATTATAGGTCAATAGCATGTTGCAACACCTTGTTCAAAATAATATCAAAGATGCTATGCATGAGATTGAAGACCGTGTTACCAGAAATCATCTCAGCAAATCAGAGTGCATTTGTGGCAGGGAGAAGTATAGTTCAGAATGTCCTAATCTGTCAAGATCTGGTCAGGCTATATAACAGGAAAGCATCTACTAGAAGCTGCCTGATAAAGATAGATTTAAGGAAGGCCTATGATACTGTGGAATGGGATTTTGTACAGGAGATATTGCATGCTTTAAACTTCCCTAGCAAGTTCATACAATGGATAATGCAATGTATTACAACTACAAAGTACTCTATAGCAATCAATGGAGGGATATATGGTAACATTGAAGGGAAAAGAGGGTTAAGACAAGGTGACCCCATCTCACCTCTAATATTTGTCATATGCATGGAGTACTTCACTAGGATTATGCAACATGTAGCTACAATGCAGGGATTTGAGTACCACACAAAATGCAGAGGGCTGAAGCTGAATCATCTGTGTTTCGCTGATAATGTACTACTATTCTGTAAAGGAGAGGTACAATCAGTGATGTTGAAGTTAAGGGGACTGGCTGCTTTCTCAGAAGCTTCTGGGTTGCATACTAATGCCACAAAGTCTAATATATATAGTGCAAACATGAAGCAGCAAGAAGTGTATGATATATGTGAGCTGACTGGGTACAAATAAGGTATCCTGCCTTTCAGATACTTAGGGGTGCCAATTTTAGCAAAAAAAATATTGGCTGTGGACTGTGAAATGCTGGTAGAGAAAATGTCTGCTAGAATAAAAAGTTGGGGATCTAGGAACCTATCCTATGCAGGAAGGGTTCTGTTAATCAATTCAGTACTAATGCATATCCATGCCTATTGGTCTTCTATCTTCATTCTTCAATTCAGTACTAATGCATATCCATGCCTATTGGTCTTCTATCTTCATTCTCCCTAAGAAAATACTAAAGAGCATAACAACTATTTGTAGGAACTTCCAATGGGATGGCAAAGTGAACACCAATAGAGTGCCTCTAATAGCTTGGGATCTTATCTGCAGGCCTAAGATAGAAGGGGGGCTAGGGATAATTGAATGTGAGGCTTGGAACCAAGCAGCCATTGCTAAATATGTTTGGAATATAGCAAAAAAAGCAGACAATTTGTGGGTACAATGGGTGAATCATATATATCTGAAAGGGAAAGACTGGTGGGAGTACCAACCACCAAAAGACTGCTGCCGGTACTAGAGGAAGATCTGCTCAATTAGAGACCAATTTGCAGCAGGATACACTCAACAGGGGTGGCTAAAAGCAGACGGGAAGTACACAACAAAGAGTGGATACCAGTGGAAACAAGGAAGAAGAGATAGCTGGAGCCATGGTAGATGGGTGTGGGACAGAAATAACATTCCAAAGCATAGCTTTATATGCTGGTTAGCTATGCATAGAAGGCTCCTAACGAGGGAGATGCTGGCAAAGCTAGGAATGTGTCAAGAAGATCAGTGTGTCATATGTGGAGAAAAAGCTGAAATAATTGACCATTTGTTCTTTGATTAAGTACTCCAGAAACTGTCTAAATGAGCTGCTTGATTGGCTGAATTTAAGTACAACAGCACAGGTTAAGTGGTATATGGAGAAGAATGACAAGGAATATCAGGGGTAAAGCATGCAGATCAGCTGTCAGCACAGTGTTGGTAGCTACAATCTACCATATATGGAAAGTTAGGAATGAAGCATTGTGGAATCAAAAAGTTCTCAGACCTCACAAGCTAGTAAGCATGGTTAAGGAAGAATGCAGGATGAAGATACAAATAATCATGGAACAAAAGTCAACATCAAGAAAACAAAAACTATGGATAAAGAAGATAATGTAAATAGCTTACTGAATAGATAGGAACATGAAGCATACATAGCAGGAATTAGATATAGGAAGTAAGCAAGGGGAGGGAATTCTTGTAATTGAATCCTTGTAAGTTTTGTGTTGGTGATTAATAAAGACTTCTCATTTCACAAAAAAAGAAATTATGGAATTTTTACCTCCTATAGCAAAGTTTAACACCTTATTTATTTTAAATAAACATCATTTAAAAAAATTATATTCTATAAATACCTTTTAAGGTTTATAGCAAAATATTTAATTTTGGTTACCTCCTAACCCTAAGCAACTAAATACGCTAATCAGTTACACTTTTTTCTTTCTCTCTCTACTTTGATACATCCCATTCTCTTCCCCCATCCAATTAAAATTTCCGATCTCCTCCTCCTTCCACCGGATTTGTGCAAAGCCCACTTCAGAGCAGGTTCACTTTCTCCATCTCCATTGATCCGCCTCACTCAATTTCTCAGTCAATATTTCATATCTTTCTGTACTCTTTCCACGATAAGAAAACGCCTTGCCTTCTTCAATTCTTGATAATTGCATTGAACCTCTTGCCTTCTTGTTCTTCTTCTCCTCGTGTTCTACAACAAGTGGAGAGTTTGGAATAGTTTCAGTTTTGTTTTCTGGGTTGTGGGGTTCAATTGTAGAATTGGTATTCGCATTCTTGGAAAGGCAGCAAACTTCATCTAACCCAAAGCAATGCTCGTTCTCCGCGGGGAACGAGTCACTAAAATCACCAAACCAATCACTTTGTTCTCCCATGTTTCACTCCATGAATACACTCGAATACAACAACTGATTAGCTGGACTTCCCTGATTCACGCCAATTTTTGCTACTGTATTCATGAATACAATAGCTTAAATACATCAAATACATCTTATAACCACATAAAAGGTATCTATAATCCGTAATATAGCAAATGGTATCTATAGATGGCTAATTATTACTAAAAGATAGTGCTTTATGAAAATTTCTCTTCTTGCTATGTTTTTGGGGGTATTTTTTTGGGATGAGAATCTTTTTTATAACTGAAAATACAAAATTTGTGTGTTATAATTGAGTTTGTTGATTATATTAGGAGTCTATTATGTTAATTGATTCACTTTCCGTTTTAAAAACAGTGTAATCCCCTATTTCACGCCGTGAATACAATCGAATACTGTCGAATATAATAATCTGTCCAGCTGTAATCCCATGTTTCACTCCATGAATACAGTCGAATACACTCGAATATAACAACTGATTAGCTGGACTTCCCTGATTCACGCCTATTTTTGCTACTGTATTCATGAATACAATAGCTTAAATACATCAAATACATCTTATAACCACATAAAATGTATCTATAATCCGTAATATAGCAAATGGTATCTATAGATGGCTAATTACTACTAAAAGATAGTGCTTTATAAAAATTTCTCAATAATTATTCCAGAATTAGTTATCTCAGGATTATTATCCCATCCTTTCATATTGGGATGAAAATAATACTATTATCCCTGAATAACTAATCCTGGAATTAGTTATACTCGTACCAAACAAGACAGCATGCCAAACAAATATAATTTAGTCGTGAAAAAACCATGAGAATCAGGTTTCAAATGGCCTTTCTCATTATCCACATTTAGTCTATGTAGAAACCCCACTTGTTATTATGAATGATGTAATCCCTAAATGCAAGTTTTTAGATGGTATATCATCACTTTTAGCCCGCGCCAGAAGGTATTTATAATTGGTAGTAAAAAAAAAATATAAAATTTGCATAATTTTTATATATAACATACAAAATATATAGCCATTTATGTGGAGTGATTTCCTACACGAATGATGCTATAGGTCCAACAATATTGGACCAATTGCGTCATCAATTCAGTTGTGAAGGACCAACGGATCCCTCAAACGTCAAAATAATGGATATTCAATCAAAAGATAACCTCTACACATCGTATCCATTACTTTCATACCGATAAAGTTGAAGTAACGATAAAGTTATTTCTGCGTGATTTAAGGTTACGAGTTCAAATGCAGAAACAACCATTAATATTTGTATTAAAGTAGGTTGTCTACATCACACCCTTGAGGTGTGACCTTTCTCGGAACCTACGCGAACGTGGGATACTTTGTGCACGGAACTGCTCTTAATCTATATAAGTAGAATTAATTATTTAAAAAATAAAATACACAATTTCTTTTAACATGTTAAATTATATCAATAGTCTAATAATTCTTTAGAAAGTCAGTAAGTTAAATATGTTTAAGATTCACTAGTCAGTCAAAGAAGAAGCAAAAGATGTTGTTTGGCAGGTTTGAAAAGGTATTATCAACTAAGAAACCGGAATGACGTAAGAATATCTAATTGCATCTTATGTGATACATTTACTAATTGGTGAGTCAAAACAAATATTATTTAATTTTGACCATGATTTTTAAAATACTTTTAAATATTTTTAATTATTAATAAATAATGACTTATAGTACTTTTTATATAATTTTTAAATATAAAATAATTTTTGTTTAAAAACTTAAAAATCATATGTACGAACTCATATTAAAAATTAGGTGGTTTGACTCTCGTATTCTGAATTTCATGCTAAGTAAATCAAGGAGTAGAAAATTAGATACTTGCAAAAAAAAAAAAGGCAGAAATTAATTAATTAATTAATTTTATATGGAGAAAGGTTGACCAACCATTCGCCTTGATAGAGATTAATACCGAACTTTGATCTTGAAGTGGACGACATTACTTCATTTTTCTAGTGTTCGTTATGAACAGAGACGGATCCAGGATTAAAATGGGCTTAATTGTACATTAAATTAATTATATTGTTAAACTTATAAGTGTTTACCTTAAAATCAAGTAACAAATAAATTTGTACGCGGTTCTAAGGATATGTGGATTGATTCAACACAAATAATCTGTGATGACCCAAAAGGGTCATCTTATGTTTTAGAGCTCGATCCTTGTTCCGAGGCCTTCAAAATCTCATTTTATTCCTCCTCGATTTGCGTGCGCAGTCCGCGCGTATTTCTGGAATGCTTTTATGTTGAAAGCTGATAAAAATAATAATGTTTGCCTTTAAAAGTTGATTTAGTTGACTTCGGTCAACGTTTGGAGTAAACGGACCCGGACTCGTATTTTGACAGTCCCGGTGGGTCCGTATCAAAATATGGGACCTGGGCGTATGCCCGAAATCGAATTCCGAGGTCCCTAGCTCAAGAAATGAATTTTTGATGAAAATTGAAAGTCTAAAAATTAAATGGTTTTAAGAATTTGGTTAATGTTTGATCTCGTTGTTATCGGGTCCGTATTTTGGTTTCGGAGCCCGATACAGGTTCATTATGATGACTTGTGTGTGAAATTTGGTGAGAAACGGAGTTGGTTTGACGTGATCCGAACGTGCGGTTGAGAAAATAGAAATTTTAAAGTGTTCTTGAGAATCTCATTAGATTTGGTGCTAAATTCGTAGTTGTAGGTGTTATTTAGGCGACTTGATCGCGCGAGCATGTTCGTATGATACTATAAGACCTGTGTGCATGTTTGGTTTGGAGCCCCGAGGGCTCGGGTGAGTTTCGAATAGGCCACGGAGTGAAAATTTGACTTAGAGCATTGCTGGTTCTGCAATTTCTGTGACTGGTGTCTGATCTCGCATTTGCGAGATCAGTGTTCGCATTTGCGAACATTCCCCATGCTGGCAGACTCGCAATTGCGAGCAAATTCTTTGCATTTGCGAAGTGTACCTGGGCAGCACTAGTTCGCATTTGCGATCAGGAGGTTGCATTTGCGGGGAGCCAGTGTTCACATTTGCGGACAAATCTTCGCAATTGCGAAGTGGGAGCTGGGCAACAGTGATCGCATATGCGATCAACTGGTCACATTTGCGGAAGGATCAGAGTTCGCATTTGCGAACTATTTGTCGTAAATGCGATGAAGAGAAGAATGTGAAACCTTTGCATTTGCGATAGGTTCTTCGCATTTGCAGGGCTCGCATTTGCGAACCCCAGGTCGCAAATGCGACATCTGCAACTGATCAAAACTTAAGTTAGACGGGATTTTCTCCCATTCTCCATATTTTTCAAATCCTAGAACCCTAGAGGCGATTCTCCCAAGACCAATTCTTCCCCAAAACTTTGGTAAGTGATCCTAACCCACTTTCTTTCAATTTTCCATCACATTTTATGAATTTCCAACCAAAAATCTAGGATTTTCATGGTAGAAATTGGGGGTTTGGGTAGAATTAGGAATTTTTGGAAAATTGGGATTTATACCTCAAATTGGGATCAGATTTCAAACTAATTACATATCCGGGCTCGGGGGGGAGGGGGGTGAATGGGTGAACGGATTTTGGTCCGAAGCTTAAGTTTTGACCAAGCGGGCCCGAGGTCGATTTTTGACTTTTGGGGGGAAATGTTGGAAAACCTCAATTTATGTATTGAAATTGATTTCTTTAGCAATATTTGATGTTATTAAGTTAATTATGGCTAGATACGAGTGGTTTGGAGGTGGAATCTAGAGGATAAGCGGTAATTGAGCAGTGAGTGGCATGTGGATCGAGGTAAGTGTCGTGTCTAACTTTGACTCGAGGGATTAGGAACCCTTGACTTATTTGCTATGTGAAAATCCATGTGAGTATAGGTGATGTGATGAGTACCTATGCGCCGCCAATTTATCTAGTTTGC